CCATGTTGGCAGAGTCACTATGGATGAAGAGCTTCAAGCATTACGGAAAGCCCATGCGTGGGAACTTGTGCCCTTACCTCGAGCAAAATCACTTATTGGTTCTAAATGGGTTTATAAAGCAAAGGCAAGATCTGATGGTATTGTTGACACATATAAAGCTCGACTTGTTGCCAAGGGCTTCAATATAGAATATGGTATTTATTATGAGGAGATGTTTGCACATGTGATCCTCATCCCTTCTATTCATACTCTTGCGACTGTTGCAGGTCGCTCTATCAAATGGATGTTAAGCACACATTCCTCAATGGTAACTCGTTATGGAATTATACATATGCCCTCCGAGTGGCGTTGATTACCCTAAAGGGTATTCTTTTTAACTTTAAAAATCCCTTTATTGTCTTTAACAGGCTCCAAGGTCTTGGTTCGAGAAATTTAGCAGCATGATTATATCATTACGGGGAGTGATGGTATTGGTACTATAAAGCTAAGGCTATCACTCGGTTCTTGCTTCGAAATGAAGGATCTTGGCAATCTTCACTTTTTCTTGGTCCTTAAGTGCTTTTAGATCCACTAGGAGTCTACCTCTACCAAGCAAAATATAGTTTAAATTAATTTCTTGCTCGAGCCTTATGGATTGCAAAGTGGCTTCAACACGAATATTCATGGGAGTGGTACTCCTCTTAGCAACCCTACTACTTACAGGCAATTAGTTGGTTCATTGGTTTATCTAATAGTTACACGACCAGATCTTGCTTATGCAACTCACATGGTTAATATGTATATGGTAGCACCGTATTCTGAGTCATTATGCAGTTGTTCTTTGGATCCTTCGATACCATAAGGGTACAATGTTTCATGGACTACATTTTTCGTGCAATCTTTAAATCTGAAAGCCATCTTCGATGCATACTGGGATGGTGATTTTCCTGACGCTCTACTACCGGTTATGGTTTCTTTCTCAGTGATTTGCTTATTTCTTGGAGTAAGAAACAGTCACTTACAGCTTGATCAAGTACTGAAGCTGAATATTGAGCTTTAACAGATACAACTCAAGAATTAGTTGGGCTACGTTGGATTTTGGCTGAAATGGGCGGCCTAGTCCCTTCCTACATCAGTGTGGTGGGACAACAACAATGCGATTCAAATTGCCCACAATGATGTTTAGCGTACAAAACATATTGAAATTGACTCTCACTTTGCCTGTCAACATGTTCGTAAAACTGTTAGACTTCATCCAATTTCAACGACTGATCAACCTGAGAATATCTTCACCAAGGCACATTTTCTTAGTCATTGTAAATTTCTAGTTTCCGAACTCAAGTTAGATCATATCTTACCCACTTGAGTTTGAGGGGGGTGTTAGAGTATATTTTAGTAATTATGTACAGTACAGGGTTATATTTGTAACTTTGTTCCTAGGTTTATATATTTCTGGTAATAGTAAAATCAGTGTGCATATTTTCTTCTCCAAGACAAACAACAGCAAGATGATCAATCATGTGGATATATTACAACTTCCATAATGTGGATTCTCCCTTCTTCTTTATCAATCGATCTGTCACACTAACCATCCTTATTTGATTTCCTTACAGCAAGCAGATCATACACCTGATGAACATCTTGCCATGGTAGAGGGCTTGGGTAAAGCTAGCATCAATCTTCCTTTAAGCGTATCCATGCAAAAGGCTGAAAAACAAGTAATTAACAGAGAAATCGAACGGAGGCGAGAAATGCGCCAACTTTATGCTTCACTTACAAGTATACTTCCTATTGAACTCGTAAAGGTGAATTTTGATCTATTCTTTCCTTATATATTTTAGTTAGTTCTTTGGTGCCAAATGATATCAAAGAGGCTAACAAATAGACTGTTCATGTTGGAATCGGTGATTTTTGGTGTTCAGCGAAAACGTTCCGTACCAGCTCATCTGTTGTCAACAGTGCATTACATCAAAGAAAAGCAGGAAAATATTAAGGAAATGAGTACAAAGAGAGATCGGCTCAAGAAACTTTTTGACACTAATGAAAGTTTAGTGAATCACTTATCCAATACTGTCTCAGTGAAGTTCTGCAATGGGATGGTCGATATTGTCATAAATAGTTGCTTAGAGGAAGGTTTTGCCTTTTCACAAGTACTAGATGCAATTATCAAAGAAGGGATTAACATAGAAAGCTGCACCTCCACCAAAATAAATAATCGGTTACTTCACTCTATCCATTCTGAGGTAGATCCTACACATCATTCTTCAGTTATACTTTGTCATTTTTGATGGTTTTCTTAGTCCTTAATTATAAAAGCCTAACCTGATACAAGGAATTATCGAAGAACATTAGTTTAACCCTCATTTCATGGATTGTTTTTCCAGGTAAGTGAGAAGGCATTGATTGATCCATCAATGTTGCAACGAAGACTAGTCTTGGTAGCCAATACTTGGTCAAATGTCATTTAAGATAGTTCTAATCACAACTTGAAACCTATGGTATTTTTATTTTCTTTTTCCAGCTTGTAGGAGATGTCACAAAACACATTTATTTGACCCCTCGCATGATTTAGTATGTTGTGCATAACATCAAAAGCTTAGTTTAACATGAAGTTTTAGCTGATAATATAATCTTGTGTTTTCCTAAATTGAAAATGTGTCTTCTTACATTCATTAGATACATGATCTCGTACATGTCACGTGTTGCATTAGTTATTCTTGTTACGGAAGAACATAAAATTCCCCCCTCACTTTCATGGATTATTTATACATGCAAGTGACATGATAATGATTTATAAGATTATGATATATGATTTTAAGATTAGTTGTCATGATCGCAAGCATTGGACCAAATTTCAAGAAAGATTGTAATTACAGTTTGAAAACTAATTAATATTAGTACTAAAATTAGGCTTTATCCGCGTAAAAAAACTGTCATTATTACATGTTATGTCTGGTTTTTTTCATTAAACATGAAAGGAAAGGATGCGTCATTGAATATAAGTTATGCTTTCGTTCAATTGTGGTGAGTATAGCCCATGAAAATATGTTATTATAGGTAAAACATGTCATTATCTAGCAAAGTGTTTTTACAGATGTATCTATTTTATTTTGATAACAGTCATGAATAACTCCACTAGAGTGATGCGTTTTTTACTATAGAGTCATAAATGTTCACTTATAGTCACCATTTATGAATATTATTGGGATCATTGTTGACTTTTGGAGACACGGATGTAATTAGGGTGTAAGGATAAGTTATCTGTACTAACATGTTTAATGGTTTGTTTACATAAACCAACAAATAAAAAATTTGGAAAAAAAATAATCTATACTAACATGTTATTTCTTTTATTATGATTATTGATAACTTTTGTTGACATGTTTAATATTATATCGTGAATACTTCGTACATTTATTCATTCATTAGACAATTAAATGATGACAATATAATGCTTATAGTGTTTTTTTTCCTATAGAGTCATAAGAGTCATAAATGCTCATTTATAGTCACCGTTAATAAATATTATTGCAATCATTGTTGACTTTTGAAGACTAGAATGTTACTAAACTGTAAGAATAAATTATTTTTACCAACATGTTTAATAGTTTTCCATTACTGTTGTTTACATATACCGACAAATTTAACCTATCACAAAAAATGATCTATATAGACATAATATGTTTTTTTTATTATTTCATTATAGAAAGTTTTTTTTTTTTAATTTAATTACACATATTGACCACCTTTCATTACTATGATGGGTAAAAATGGAGATACGAAATATAATGTAATTAAAAAACCATTTTTAATAATATTCATTATATAAAGTTATTACATCAAAAAAAAAAAAAAAACATCCATATATACAATGATATAAACTAAATAAACTAAACTCTATTTTTTTTTATTAGTAGTTGCTACAGTCCTTTGCCCGGTTGTTGGATAATAGGTTGCTGGATAATAAGTCTTTGGTTGTGTTTTCTTGGGCTGTGTTTTTTTTGGGATTTTGTATTTCATTATTTGGTTCAAATACATGCATATCCGGATCCTGTCACAACATAAACTAAAAGAGGTGTTAAACATGCATTGAAGTAAACATGCACAATTAATATATATAATAAACTAATAAAATCAATTTAAAAAAATATAAATTTTAATTAATTACTATAAATATTAATTACTATAACGTATGCAATTAAAGTACCTTAAGATCCAGGATTACAATATTTTTCCCAAGCCACAAAACAACATATTGCATAAAAAATTGTTAACGTAATTTTGTTATCTTCGTTTCATACGCAGGCGGATGGTTTTATTACTTCATCCACAAAAACTCTATAGTAATCGGTCGTTAGTGGCTTTCCATGTATTCTATGGTTTTCATCGGTAGAGTGGTGTACATAACCCTTGGCAATGACGTTGGTAAGATTACACACTAACAATGAATATTTTATTCTATACAAAGATGCATATTTTAATAATAAATTTATAGGTATAAAGTTTAACCGACACATGAATATCTATGTAAACATGTCGAATATACGTACTTTGGTTAATTGTTGAGTAAACACTCATTGCTTGCAAAAGATTTGAAGGGCTTCTTTAAAGAAAAAATCTCAGCTTTCATGAAACTTTATTAAAGTGTCATCTTTTTGTTAAGCACATGTGTAGCGTTCATGACACTTTTCAGAAAGTGTCATCTTTCTGCCCAACACATGTTGAACTCGAAAATTTTCCATTTGTCTTCAAAAAATGTCTCCAACTTCATTTCTTATTACATATTTCTACAAATAGATTATTTCTAAAAACTAATCTATTACCTAACAAAAATAAACAAGAAAAACTAATCAATTTAATTATTACATACCAAATGAATAAATAAATTATTACAACCATTTTTATAACAAAAACAACAAACACAACAACACAACAATCATAATGGTCATTGGCTAGTTTATGCACATTATACACATCAACATACATATGAAACAACAATTGTTTTTCTAAGACAACATTAAATGACAAAAGATGCATGAAATTTTTGTCACATAAAAAAATAACAATTATAAAGTTGTAATAGAAAATATGTATAAACTTATTTTTATACAAAAACAAGTTATCCATATTTTCCAAAAACCAAGATTTCCAAAAATCAAAATATCTAACCAAACTTGCAAGGTGGCTCTTGATACCAATTGTTGGGTTTTATTTCAAAAAATAGTTTCAAAAACTACAAAATGGCAAACGGAAGACTTATGATTTTTGAAAATAACATAAACATTTTATACCCACCAAGGATCTTCTTGCAAGTTATAGAAAGATAAAATACCAACCATGGAAAGGATGAAAAAATAACAACCTTTGTTGTTCTTTGGATCCTCTTGGGAGGCTTGGAAGAGGATGAAGAAGATGGTGATGGGTTTTATACAAACAATCCTATGTGTGCATGCAACCCTTAGATCTATGTTTTCTCTATTATATATACAAGCATTAAACACAAAATAAATGTAACGCTCGTTTCAGGTATCAAATTACTTTTCAAAATTTTAGGGTTTTAGACTGGAACTCGACGAATTGGGGAGCTCCAACTTGTCGAGTAGAGATCATTTGTGGAACGCGGAATTTAGGATCTACTCGAAGAGTTTGAAGGCCCAACTCAACGAGTAGGCATTGTAAAGGAAAACCCTAATTTTTAGGCATTTGTATCACTATTTAACGAACATATGGCTCATTGTAGCGTCCCTCATCGTCTTTGCAACCCAAAGAAACCCTATCTTGAGTCTTATACCTTATTAAGTGTGTGGGAGAGCTTTAAAGAGTGATTTTGGTGTGGTTGTGAAGGAATTTGGAGATTGAAGAGGATGGAGTTGTTGGATTTAGTGTCTAAGCTCATAACTATAATTGGTATGTGTCACACCCCAAAACCGGAACGACGGAAATGTTCTGGGGTGGATGACGTCATGTCAAGTATCACAACATGTGTAGTATAGTAATCAAAGTACAACAACCATTACATTAATAGTAATAGTTTTACATGGTTTATATTACAACACATCAAGGTAATACAAGTAGTAATATAAATGCATCTTGGTACTAAGCTATCTTCATCAAAAGCTCCTGAGTTGTACCTGTCTAATGTTGACCTGAGAATACAAGTTATTTGAAAAGCGAGTATCAGCATTTTTACAAATGCTGGTGAGTTCATAAGTATTTAGTGACATTTTATTCAAATAACTTTATATAAGTAGTAGTTTTCAAGTATACAGTGAAATAGTGTCCTTTCCAGAAAATCCTATATTTTCTAATTAAAATGCAGTCTTCTACCAAGACTAGTCAGAGTTATGTGGTAAAAAGTAGTTTTCCCTTAAACACTTTCATTTTCAAAATACGGGATTTGCTTTTTAAGAAAGTCGGAGAATATCAGGGAAAATAACATATGCCTCAGCAGTGAGGACTGCTGACTAAGGCAAAAGGAATCATAGACTCTAGGAGAGTATTGAATGAACGACACGTCTGGCTCAGTCTAACAGAAAGAGACACAGACCCCAGACGGTACCAAATGAAAGGTACGGCTAGTAAGGTCTAAAACAGTGAACACAGACCCCAGACAGTATCAACTGAATGATACATCTAGCAAGGTCTAAAACAGTGAATACAGACCCCAGACAGTATCAAATGAATGATACGTCTAGCAAGGTCTAAAACAGTGTGACTCCGAGAGTGGGTTCCAGCATAAAGTGTAAATTGCTGGAGAAAAACCATTACCTTAAGGCCATGAATTATAAGGTAACCTGGGATACTCGTAACCATACTAACTAACACTAGAGTACCTGACGCCTTACAAGCGTCTAGCGAATATGACATTTGTCACCCCTTGGCTTGGTAGGTTGTGCACTGTAGCTAGCAGTCAGGGTGCGGGGGTGTCAATCTTGTATAGATCTATACACACAATGTCCGATCTCCCTATAGGAGACTCTAGTTACCAACTAGACGACGGAGAAGGCCGTGTCCCGAGGATGCATCCCAAATAGTGGGTAGTGTGTTTCTAATATGAGTGTTGAACTAGAGGTAGAAACTCATAACTGAACTGACTAGAGTAAACCTATATGGCTATGCTCGTATACATAATATATAACTAATGAATCAAATGACCTTGGGACGACCATCCGATCCCACCAGACCACATCTCAATGAAGAAAAGGAAATAGGGCAGACGAGCCTTCCTAAGTCTTTCAATCATTATTTATATGCATCTATACAAGCACAGACATACGTCTAACTACGTGCGAGTGTTTAACAATCAGAGTGGTTCTTCAAGTAGAGGCGTCAATAAGTGAAGTAGAAGCAACTAACGAGTGAAGTAGGAGCGTCTAACAAGTATAAGCGTATCACGAGGTAGAAACGACAACAAGTGAAGTAGGAGCGTATCGAGTATAAGTGAAGTAGAAGCGATATCAAGTATAAG